TGATTTATCTTTAGATAATTTGTCTTTTTTGAAGTACTCAATGAAAGGTTGTCTCCAATCATCTCATTACTCTGCCATAAATGCTTAATGTTGATTGAGAAACTGTTATGAAAGAGTTTAATGAGCAATAGAAGTTGTATTATGCTCGCTTAAACTTGATTACCCATCCTTCTGCCAAAATATAAGTTTGTCGGTTTCAAGACTCATCGAGTATGGACATCAATCAACCCCGACTCGAAATTCATGTTGGCCATCTCTTTAGCCAATTTGGTTAGTCTATTTTACTGTTTCAAGCTTAAGACACCTGGTTAGTGTGACATGCGGGATTTGTTTCATAAGTTGAACAACTCTCTTATGATAAAAATTTAATTCAAGCTTATTTATCTTTAAAACGCCCAAGATTTGATTTATGAAAAGTTGCAAATCATCAAAGATGTGGAGATTTTTCACATTCAATGTGATAGTCATCTCAAGACCAACTATAAGAGTTTCATACTCGGCTTCATTAATGGTTTGAGGCTCAATTAAGCCATATAAATACCTTATTATGCCTACCTCTTGTATCACAAAGATAAGATCAATACCAAATCGTGCTTTTTGAAGATCTAAAGGTTGGGCTGGCTTGCTAGAAGAAGCTCAATCACAGTATAATTACCAAATTTAAAGCTTCTCATTCTCTTAAATGATTAGAATATGTTCATCAGAAAAATCATTGTTGAGCGAAGAATCAATAGAAATGGGATGAACAATAAGAGAGTATCCTAGAACTTATCCTTTAATTGGTTTCTAAAGAACATATGTGATATCAAATTACTAGAGTTGAACTGCTCATCGAGTCAAGCGACCTGTTAGCACAGAACTTGTCATCAAGAACTTCAATGGATCGATCCTAAAGATGAGGGTGATTTTATGAGACATGTAATGACGAAGCTTTTAAGCAACAAAAGTCAACCCTAAGCAATATTTTTTAATTGAAGAGTATTATATTTCCGACTCTATAAGCCTTCAACTAATATATAAAAGGGCATTCTCTTTGTCTTCTTCATTATATTGGGTCTAAAAGCTCCAAGGAACTCTTCTATTGTTGTCGCATATAGAATAAAAGATTGAAAATGATTGACATCAACCGGATAAGTTGGATATAAAACGTCGAATAAATGAGAGATCTCGTTGTAGAGAACGAAACCGACGAAGATTTTATGGAGAAGGCATCTCAACAATCGTCTTGATTTTAGGGCAAAAAGTAGGGCTCTTGGCCAATTCACAACTGACAATGAATGCCTACTGAGGATGGCAAAGTACCTTATTCCGTGGCCATGAAAAAAATTAGCTACCTAACTCCAACCAACCCAATTAGGTCGTGCATTAACCAACTTTTCAATAGAGTGCCAAATATGCAATAAATTGGGTCGCTTAGCTATACATTGTTGGCATTGGTTGAATTTCAACTATACATCCACTAATAAGGTGTTGCAAGTTGAATCATCACGCGCTCTTGATTCTAGAGCTACAACGCATCTCATGGCCGACCTCAATCAACTTCAACTAGCTACACTAACCAAAGAATTTGAACAGGTGCTTGTGGGAAACAACCAACCCATAGAGGTGAAAACACAGGTGATGGTATCCTTCCGACATCAACTCGCTCTCTTCGCCTCCCTTCCATATGGGCATGTACCATCCCTTTCCCATAATCTACTATTTGTTCAAAAACTCATTAAGGATAACAATGTTGCCACTCTTTTTAATAAATTTGGTTTTCTTATCTTTGATCCACAAACCTACCAAATCCTCTTTTGTGGCCATAACTCCAAGCGGATATACCCTATTCCTACTTCACATGGCTATCCATCTACTTCTGTTGCTCATTAAGCTTTGTCTACCTCCATACAAACATCTACATTGTGGCTCAAAAGGCTTGGACATCCTCATCCAAACACTCTACACCCTCTATCCAAGTCTCAACAAGCACTTGGCATCAATTATCCTTTTCCTTTATGTAATAGTTGCAAATGTAGTAAGAGTCATAGGCTATGTATTTACCTTTACAGCTTATACACTCAAACGTTTGGGGTCCATCTCTAATATTATCAAATAAAAATTTTCGTTATTATGTGATTTTCATTTATGAGTACTCTAATGTTTATTGGTTATATCATCTCAAGCATAAATCCAAACTTCCCCAAACATGTTTGCAATTCCTGCAAATGCTCAAGAATCAATTCAATACAACCAATAAAATTTTCCAATCATATAACGGTGTTGAATATAAAAAATTTAATCTCAAACAAGCCTTTCATCAGCAAGGTATAATTCACCAATTCTCTTGCCCATATACACCCAAACAAAATGGAGTGGCAAAAAGCAAACACGCCACTTCATTGAAACCATCCAGACCTTTTTGCCTGATGTGTCCCTTCCTCTCAAATTCTGGCTTGAAGCTCTCCTCACCGCCGTCTAATTCATCAACCGCATGCCATCCAAAATTATCAAATGGCTTGCTCCTTATGAACTTCTATACAAGAAACCTCCTAAATACTCTCACCTAAAAGTATTTGCTCACCTATACTACCCATGGTTGAAAACCATCACACCACACAAGTTGGCTCCTCAATTCACACATTGCATATTTCTTGGCTACTCTCAAAACCACAAAGGTTTCACATGCTATAATCCACATTCATCCAAAATCATCACTTCTCCTTGACATATGGTTTTTCATGAAACCACATTTCCCCAACTTCAAGATCCTCCACCAACTTCACCTTCAACTAATTCCATTTTAAACTCGCTAATCCTCATTTCTTCCATCAGCCACTAATTCATCCAAATCCTCTACTCTTGTGCTATCAACCACGCACCAGATTCGCCACAAATCTCCTCCCTTCCTCCGACATCGGCCCGTCCAAAGAGCTCCTCTGCCTGCAACCCCATCCCTTCATCCAACCCATCCGATGAAACTCGCACTAGAACATGAAATCTCAAACCTGTTTAGTGTCTAAAACTACTTAACCATACTCCACCATTGCCTGATTCAACCTCCTACTCTGCTACTCGCAAGCCGTAAAACATGAACACTGAAGGAAAGCTATGAGTGCCTAATTCCACGCCTCCAACCTCTAAGCACATGGACATTTATTCCTCCTCCACCAAACACGCCGGTATTGGGACGCCACTGGACATATTGTACCAAATATCACTCGATGGTTCAGTGGCAAGCTATAAAACAAGGCTCGTCACTCAAGGAATCAACCAAGAATATGGCATCAATTATTATTAAACTTTCGACCTAGTTGCGAAAATGCCGACTTTTCAAACTCTCTTAATTGTGGCCTTCGACAACAACTGACCAATACTACAGTTCCATGGGTCTAATTTATTTCTTCATAACACTCTTCAGGAGATCATCTATATGTGACAACCAACAAATTTTATAGATACTCAGTTTCCTCCGCATTTTTGCTTGCTCAAGAAAACCCTATACGGCCTCAAACAATCTCCGAGACAGTGGTATACCACAATCTCATAAATTTTGCTGCAATTGAATTTTATAATTAGCCATGTCGATCTGTCCCTGCTCATACCTCGCAAACCCGTATGCAATATATTCCTTCTCTATGTAGATATTTTGGTGATTGGAGATAGTATGGATATTATTCGAGAACTGACCACAAATCTTTCCAATCGCTTTCAAATCAAACAATTGGGTGAGATACATAAATTTATGGGCATCAAAGTATTCTGGACAGCACAATCATTGTTTCTTAGTCATCGATCTTACCTTACAAACATTCTTCAATAAATGGCTATGACGGGATGCAAACCAGTCTTCTCCTCTTCCAAGCAAGAAGCTTGATACACTGGATACTACACCTTTTGGAAAATCCAACTGAATCGAGAAGGGTTGTGGGAGCTCTACAATACCTTACAATTACAAAACCGGACATCTCTTTCTTGGCGAACCACATATGCCAACATATGCATAAACCAAAACGTATTGTTATCTACATATCACACTTGATGATGGCATCGTTATCACACATACTGACCTTCTCTTCAAACATTCTTCGATGCCCACTGGGCAAGTGAAGTGGTGAACCACAAGTTAACTATTGAGATTTGCTCCACTCTTGGATAGACTCGAATCTCTTGGACGGTAAAGAAACAACAAAACATAGCAAGGTCATCTATGGAGGCGAAATTCCGCGTCTTAGCAGCGGCTATCACTGATATAATATGGCTTCACCATCTTCTCAACGAGCTCAGGGCTCCTCAATCCCAACCGACAAACCTATTTTGTGATAATATATCAGCTATGACACTTGCCAACAATCTGGTCTTTCATGAAAGCACGAAGCATATCGAAATTGATTATCATTTCATTCTTGACCATCTTCAATAAGGTCAGATCGAGATTCACTACACTACCCAAGACAAACCAGGTGACAACTTCACTAAAACTCTTCCTAAGCCTAAGTTCAATTACTTCATATCCAAGATTCAGGTTCTTTCCAAGAACCATTATCTTGAATGGGGATCACGACCGAAACACACCAAGGCAGGCTCCATTACATAACCTGACAAGATCAAGGTGGAGCGCACATCTCTTATAACTATCTAGGGGTATTTAGGTAATAAGGTATATATAGCTACTAGAATATCCAACACTACATATATGCATATCTTGTACTGCTCTCGGGAATGGAATTTGAAATTTATTTATTTTCTTCTCTCCATTTTTATTTTTACGGTCAACACTTATCTTCACATGTTTAAATGTCTCCTCACACTCTATTGAGTTTATAGCATTGATCATATGAGATCAGCGCTATCCATCATTAATCCAAGCTTAAGATGAGGCCAGTTCAAGCGGGGATCAATCATTTAGAAGATCTAAACACTCTATAGCATGATCATATATTTAAAGATAAAACATGGAGAACAAAAAGCATAGCAATGTGTAGAAAAAAAACATGTTCCATTCATCAAGTATTGCCTACCTCGCGAACTGTGTTTTAGCCGGTTGAGATTGGCAGCTGCTAGTTAATAGCCCCAGAAACACAACTCCAAGGCTATAAACATCTCTTTTTTCCTTAAGTTTAAGAGCTAAAAAGTACCCTTGATCAACATAACCCTGCACTAATCAACCGAACATAAGTACCTCAGAAGAAGAAAAAGAGAACTTTAACTACCCCTTTATAGAACAAGGGATTGTAAGGGTTAATAAATTCTATAAAAGTCAGTGTATGTAACAGATTCTGAAAATAGAAAGCAACTACATTATGTTAGATAAGAGTGATAGAGCCCAGAGAAAGTATCAGTTATAAACGAAAAAGTCTAATTCATGGCCACCAAGTCTTTCAAGTAAATTTTAGTCATGTGAACACAAACAAGTCTGCCACCAAACATATTTAATTCAAGATGAATATGAAGAACATATAGATGACTGATCTTGCTGCAAAACTTGCTAGCTCATTAGATTACTGCTAATGTCGAATATCAAATTTAAAGGTTTCGTATAAAAGGTTCTGATAAAACAGTTGATCATCCATGTATCTTATTTACACTATTTGGATGAGGTTACTGTTTCCTCTCAGAAGGGACATGACCATGCCAAAATTCAATAATAACTTCAGATAATACAGAAAAAGTAAAAATAGATTGATATTCAAGATAAATGTTGCATCATAGAGCATTTCAAAAGAAAGAAAATCCATGATAAAACATTTCTATGAGACTAAAGGCCTATTAGAGACGATACACTCAAAATTCTCAGTGCTTTGCCTTTCAAATCGCAGCCATATTTTTCTTTGGCAGCAACTTTCTTGCATTCATAAATTTCTATGACCAGAAACTATTATTTTAAGCAATCTATTAATGTGATAGCTATAAGAAAGTTGAAGTTTGACTACTACAACAACAAGTTTTTTATCCCACTAAGTGGGGATGCCATGACTTTTAGACAAATTTTATGCTAGCTGTCAAGAAAGCTGAAGTTTAACTTTTTCACAAAATATTCATAATGCCAATAAGAGCTTTCAAAAAATTTCTTCCCTATTTACACCCCTACAACCACTTCTGCAAAAAATTATAATCGCACCAGATAGATCCTAATTGAGGTCCTTGCCAGCCCGACACAACTCAGCCATAAACATATTTAGCAAATAAACAAACTCAAAATTTATCTCAAAAAACAACTTTGTAAAAACATACATGCCAATGTTAGCTAAAAGGAACATTGCAATTAGATCCACACATAATGGTTCTCAATTGATTTAGTCCTAAGAAAAATTTTACATAAATATTTCCAACTAGTTGCCCTGCATGTAAGATCATATAAAGCACAGATGGAGATGGTGTTTGTAGGGGAAACGGGACCAAACCATCCTGTAATTTTTGTTAGTTTATTCTCTCTCTCTCTCACTCTCATCTCCCTCTCTCTCTAAAAAGGCATTTTCTTCCTTCAGGAATGAAATGCCTATATAGAAGGCCTAAGGGGCCTATGCAGGACCGCCACCAAGATTTAAAAGCTTGGCGTGGCATGTATTTTTATAAAAAAAACATAACTTTTATTAGGGCGGTGTTTGGCTGCAACTTAGATTTCATTAATAGAATTTATCAAATCTAATAAATTCGGATTTATCAAATCTAACAGCAAACGGAGAAGCTCCTGAGCAATGATGGAATAAATTCATCTCGCAATGGGAGTTACTAAATCCGGATTTCTGTTTACAACAGACGGAACGCGAGAAAAAATATAAAGACGGAATGCGATAAAATTCAATTTAACGGAGTGTTGGGTTAATTTTCATTTTATTATGTTTGGTGAGATTTAAGTTACTATCATGACTAAATCATGTAAATAGTATGCTGCCAAACACCGCCCTCGCATAGATGACCAAATAGAAGGCATATCAGCATAGGTCTAAATCTAAGGCAACTATGATGAAATTTAACTTACCGGAGCTCCCATCACCACTGCTGGCACATGCCCCATCATGCTCCCTTCAAGATCTTGCAATGGTGTAAGTCGTAAACCAAAATCAGCAATCTCGGTAACAAACTTTTGAGTCCAACAGCATATTGTTTGCTTTGATATCTCTGTGGAAAATAGGGGGATCTGCTTCTGTAGCCAAATATAGGATACATCTAGCAGAACCCATAGCAACATGCAACCTTGTAGAAAAACTCAATTTTTTTTTTATCTGCCTGCCAGATAATAAAAATCAGAACAATTAGAAAAAACCACGAAATAATAAGAGAGTTTCACGGCACAGCTAATGTGAAGGGCAAGGAGACAGACTCAACATCATAAAAATACCTACACTGAAAAAAAACATGAATAAAGTTAAGGGTTATGTTATGCCTGAGGTTGCATTTGTATGTGAATGTGCATGCATAGGTGGAAAATAGAGTTTGGGATTAAAAAAAGGCATCTGTGTTGCAGAAAGTGAGAGAAATATCAGAAAAGAACGTTATTTAAAATATACCATCGACTGATTTATGCAGTCAAATACCAAGAATGCCACCTAAAAAAAAGTCAAGGGCTTATCAGGATAGGTATAAAAAACATAAAGATACGGAGATGTGAATGGGTGATAGGAGGTTAACATGGTTTCAACAATTGGATAAATCCATCACATAAGTAGATATTAAGGCGTAAAATCTATTACGTCATATGATTTTTTTATTGAATAGTTGAATACACTAACTTAAACTTCATTTTTTTTGGAACACATTAATTATTCATACTACTTAATAATGGAGCAAATCTGATGTTGCCCAAAAAACTACAGATCAGATATCATTATGTTGGTTAAACTATTTTAATTAGTACTACAGACCTTGTTTAAAATCATGCAATACGAGACTCGTCTTACAGCTTGATGAAAAATAGTGATAAGCCTTGTATTTAATTATCCTAAAGTGAGCTGTACGTATCACCCATAATGAGGCACTAGCCAAGGCTTTCTTAATTTCAAATTTTTGTTACGTAGTTTGCATTTTGTTAAAATAATTGCTAGAAAATAATATTAAAATATACCAACCATTATACCGCATGCCTCACACACTAGCTAGCAATAAATAAATAGAAAATGTACCCATATAAATTTATGTAGTTGAAGTTTTAATCATCAACATAATCAATATTTTAAAATTTATTTAATATTTTTATTGATTATTATTGATTAGGAAATAAAAGAAGATTGAGATTGAAATAAAGAAAAATGAGATAAATAAATACAACTGAGGATGAGGTGGGAGATAAAACAACTTATTATATTGATGATTCTAATGAAGGCTCATTGAGTGATGAAAGTGAACAAATTTTTTGAATTTACAAATTCTAATATTGATAGCTTGTTATGTTCTTAAGTGGATGGTAGTATGAGCATGAGTGAGGCATAAGTGATAGTTTGAGTTTGTATAACCTATCTTATTTAGATAATTTAAGATTAGAATGTTAAAATAGCATTTCATATTTTACTCAATTTATTACTTACCAGTTTGTTAAGATGATGATATGTTATCTTTTACTGTATTAACATGTTATAATGTTGATATGTGCTTTTTTACTTTACACTTATAACTTTATACAATATTTCATCCTTTTTTTTTTCAATTTGAAGCCTATGCCTTCCCTCACAGACAAAAAATGCCCTAATACTTAATTATACAATTTTACACCTAATCTCCATGTACAATAGTCTAAAGAGGAAAAAACTCTTTCAAATGGCTTGAAGAGACCCTCATGCATGCCATAAGATAAGAGAAAATTTTTTTGAGTTCTAAGCTGATGTGGAACACATAATTTTTCAATAAACTAGAATAAAATAAATTGCAAAACACATGAAATCTCAAAGTCTACAAAAACTACTACATTCTAAAACCCAAACCCGTCTTGTATTATAAAGCATATCTTACAAGGAAGAATGAGTTTATTCTACAAGTGTTTCCCACATAGACAAAAAATGCCCTAATACTTAATTGTACAATTTTAAACCTAATCTCCATGTGCAATAGTCTAAAGAGGAAAAAATTCTTTCAAATGGCTTGAAGAGACCCTCATGTATGCCACTAGAGATGGAGAAAAATTTTTTATGAGTTCAAGGCTGATGTGAAACACATAATTTTTCAATGAACTAGAATAAAATATATTGTATAACATGTGAAATCTCAAAGTCTACAAAAACTATTACATTCTAAAACCCAAACTCACCTTGTTAAAACATATCTTAGGAGTAAGAATGAGTTTATTCTAAAAGTGCTTCTCAAAATTGTTTAATATATCAAATATAATTTCGAAATAGATATTAACTTCTCTCTTTCAAATCTACATGGAAGTGGAAGGGTAACACAAACGAGTTTCTGAAGCGAATGAACTTTCTAAGTTTTTTGAAATTTTAACAAAGATTTAAGTAATTTTTGTCGCACTTGCCTCTGATAAGTGTTTTATGTTTTATTTGCAACACTATAAAGTGTATATAATACAACACATTATAAACTTAACTTCAAAATAAGAAGTATTCTAAAACTATTAAATGATTGTATATAGTTTTGTTTATTAGTATATTTATTCCAAAACAATATAAATTCGTAATACCATTCAAAAAAGATTGTTTATCGATTATTTTATTAATCAGTATAGATTGGTATGGCTGTTGCACACATTCATTTTTTTATTGATCCTTTATATTAAAATGAATCATGGTATTGCTCTGAAATTAAATTATGTTGTATTGTAGCTTTTGAATCTCAGTAAATGGAAATAATACTTGTCACAACCCTTTTTGATTCATCCGTCATGTTTCATTTTATGATTCACCTTCTGAAAGAACTTATCTTTCAAAATCATCACATCACCTTGGTATGAAGATGAAAGTTAAGATGGGGATGGAAAAGAATGAGAGAGAAAAAAAAAATAAATGAAATAAAAGAATAAAAAGTATGTGGAGGATTCTCATAAGATAGTCTTCGTGACATAAGTCGAGAACTAAGATTCAAGAAAGAAAGAGTCCGAGTTTTTGAGTCTGAAATTTGAATACTACTTGATCAAAAACAATAACAACTCAAAATTTTGAATACTACTTGGTCCTCATAGTATATGTGTCGATCAAACAATATTCAAATTTAGGAGCCCGAGTTGTCGATCCCACAAGAAACTTTGTAATTTCTCAAATTAGTTTAAACAGTTGTCTATTAATCCTTAGTTTAAATAAAAGGCTACATTTTGGCTTTGAATGTATCTAAAAATCCTAATTTTAAAGTGAAAATCTTAGTTGAAGTAAATGAGTTTCTAATGATTTAAAAATCTTCTCAAAATTGGTTTGATAGAAGCATAAGTTTCTCCACTAGATTCTCCTATTGTAGTTGACATTTGAAGACAAGTACATTTTATTCTCGTTCAAGATATAGCACACATTGAGTTTCATATTCTGGTTAAGTTTCCTTGACCTACAAAAACTCTAAGAAAACCCGATTCCCCTGGAAAATTGTTCAAAATTTTAAACATTAAAACTCTAAGAAAACCCGATTCCCCTGGAAAATTGTAAACATTCAATAACAATATTTTTATTCCACTAATGCTTGTGTTTCAACCTAGTTGTGTTTCTAACCTTTTTCCGATAATCATAGATTATAATGTATTTTAACAATTCAAATGACAGGTTTGAAGTGTAAATTACGGATTGAAGGTTAAAAAATCAACAAAGTGCATTCACATGTAGAAGAATCTAACATGGATTCACTTAGACTTTTAAAACTAATTCAAAGAACTAAATATTTAAGTACTATGCATAAGTGAAAACACCAACACATAATTCATTAAAAATCAAACCAAAGTCTAAAAGAAAAGGATAGAACAATCAAGAAATAAATCCTTAATCCCAAGTGTATGCTTCACCCAACTTGATCTTCTCCTTTATTTCACACTCACACTCACTCTTACCACAAAGAAATGAAAACCTAGCCTAAAAATAAGAAAATGCAAATGTTAAGAGCTCCTCCCCATTCTCCCAAGTGTTCGTTTTATACCATTTTCGGCCAAACCAATCGAACCGCCCAAAATGAGATATGTCCGTGACGAGCGTTGGGACACTACTAGATAGTGATGTGATGCTCAACTAAGGTGCTAGAGCGTTACTCTCCAGTGCCACCTTTCATATCTCACTAATATGAATTTAAGGTTTAGGTGTTGTGGTGCTGCTTATCGGACGATGGGGCGTTGTTATATGTGGCGCTAGGGTGTTTAATTTGGGCATCGCAGTGTCCTGCTCTTGGAATTTTAGCTGCAAAATATCGCCCTTAGGCATGGTGGCACTACATCCATAGCGTTGCAGTGCTATTGAGCTGATGTCAGGAAACTATGTACCGGATGCTAGGGTGCCTAATCAAAACTTGCAAGTGTCTTCAAAATTATATGTTTTACCTGTATACTGAATACATAGAGAAAATCAAAATTATATGTTTTACCTGTATACTATAGACATAGACAAAATATGCCATGAAAAAATATAAAATGACAAAAAAATGTAAGAAAAAAACACTGTATTACTACAACATATTTCACTCTTATCATGAATTAAATTTATATTTGGTATGAGTACATGCACACTCTCAAAGAAAAACGATTCTTTGATTAGTTACATCTTGAAGAATATTCAAGTATGCTCTCGGTTAAATAAACTTTACTTATATTTTAAGTTCTATCGATGGGATTATCAAGGTGTAATAATGTCCTTTTAGTAGGGGCTACATCATGCTTCAAATCTAAGTTTGGCCACTAGGTAAACGATGAATCACCATATCCAAATAGGCAGTCATCTCTCAAAAATGGTGGTCTAAAAAATGACATCAAATGAAATAACAAAGAAGTTAATAGGCTCAAATGGAATGAAGTCAAGGGATACAACAACAAGCCTTTATCCCACTAAATGGGGTGGGGCTATATGAATACTTTTTCTCCATTGGGTCCTATTAAATGTCATATTTTCATTTAATTCAAATAAATTAAGATCATTTTTTATACAATATGTCAAAGTCCTTTTAGGTCTACCTTAGCCTCTATTAGCATAAGTCGAATCTAAAACATCTACTCTCCTAAAAGGATCATCAAAGGTAGACGTTTGATGTGACCAAACCAACTAAGACAACACTTTCAAAGTTTTTCCGCCACTGGAGCTATACCAACCTGATCACAGATATATTCA